AGCCGATATTATAATAGATCCATGGGGTCACAACGGGCTACACCACTACTGTCTCTGAGAGAGAAACTATCGGAGCTAGCCACACTCAGTAAACGCAAACGACAATCAATCAACATATTTAAATGTTAATGCTAGAATACAATATTCATACAACACACGTGCACAGAGGTTTTCAGAATTATCTGTTAAGGTTTTCATGACAAAAATACTTTTTTAATGCGACTAAAGCGATTGCTTTTTTAAAGTAGGTGAACTAAAACCTTTGGGAACTATTTTCTTTGCACTCATTAAATAAACCTTTTGGCATGAATAGTGACAGAAGTTTATTTTGTGTGTTCAGTTGGTACAAAGCCGTATAATAAGCGGACCCCAACGCGCTTCGTCTGTGCTTATTTTCCGATAGTCACGAAGTTGAAAAAATCCCTCTCATCTTTCTTCAGGTGTGAGAATTGTATACATTCTGGATTAGGACAAACAATACTAATATGGATTGATGGGGCTAACTACATTCAGAAGAGCTCAGACGGACCTGATACAGCGGTCCAGGTCCAGTCCCAGCTAAACGTAGCTAGGACTGGATCTGGAGGCTCCACAGTTGGTCCAGCGAAGTGTTTTGAAAAAACATGTCCTTTTTAACATTCTCATGAGAGAAATTCTGCTGACCACAAGCACCCACCTCTTGCACTTGTCCTGGTCTGGTTCGATGGTGTGGTTTAACGAACAGGTTGAATGTTACTGCTTTCATATAGTCCTTTTCAGAGTATCTGAAATCGCTCCCACAAGCACCATAACTGCAGTGTTTTGTTGTCACCATGATTCAATGATTTAGCCCAAATAAATACACACGCTTATGTGGAGAACACAGTAGTACTCAACGGAGTCGGACAGAGTTTGTCCGAAACATGCGCGCATGCGCAGTCATTGGAACTATTTTTAGCACATTTCGGAAACCGGACAGTGCCCTATGAATACAATTCAAAAAACATGATGGAAGTAAATATTCTTAAAAAGGTCACATTTGTTTTTAGTTAACATGTTTTTGCATTTGGAGCAGCTGTAAAAATTACACAGGGTGGCTTTGATAATTACTATCTTACAACTCAAGTGATCAACAAAATGTTTCCATTGTGATGATTGCCATGGTGACTATTACCATGGCAAAAGTTGTCAAAGTAATGGTTGCCATGGTGACTATTACCATAGTGACTATTGCCATGGCAACGGTTGCCACTGTGACCCTTGTCATGACAACGATTGTCATTGTGGCCATTGCCATAGCAACAGTTGCCTTGGTGGCCATTGCCATAGCAACGGTTGCCATGGTCTCCATTGCCATAGTAACGGTTCACTTGGTGACCATCGCCATAGCAACGGTTGCCATGTTGACCATCGCCATAGCAACGGTTGCCATGGTGGCCATCACCATAGCAACGGTTGCCATGGTGGCAGTCACCATAGCAACTGTTGCCATGGTGGCAGTCACCATAGCAACGGTTGCCATGGTCACCATTGCCATAGCAGCGGTTGCCATGGTGGCCATTGCCATAGCAACGGTTGCCATGGTGGCCGTCACCATAGCAACTGTTGCCATGGTAGCCATCGCCATAGCAACGGTTGCCATTGTCACCATTGCCATAGCAACGGTTGTCATGGTCACCATTGCCATAGCAACGATTGCCGTGGTGACCATTGCCATAGAATCTGCCATTAATGGGGAAAGTCCTTGAAAAAGTTGTCTACCTACAGCTTACTAGATTTCTTATAATCAACAACTCATTTGATATGTTTCAGTCCGGCTTTAGACCCCACCACAGCACTGAGACTGCTCTCGTCAAGGTTACAAACGATATCCGACTGAACACTGACGCAGGCAAAGTCTCAATCTTAATCTTGTTAGATCTAAGTGCTGCCTTCGACACCGTCGACCATGAGATCCTCTTACAGAGACTTGAGGACTGTGTTGGCGTCGATGGCACCGCCCTAAGTTGGTTTAGGTCTTACCTTGAAGACAGGAAGTACTTTGTGGAGATTGGAAACTGTGTCTCAGATCATATGGCCCTGACCTGTGGAGTACCACAGGGGTCGATCCTGGGACCTCTTCTGTTCAATCTCTACATGCTGCCGTTAGGTCAGTTAATACGCAGAAACGAAGAGTCCAATCATAACTATGCAGACGACACTCAGATCTATGTCTCACTGAATGCAGGAGAACATGGACCAGTGGACTCACTCCTTCACTGTATCCAACAGATCAGTGAGTGGATGCAAAACAACTTCCTTCAGCTAAACGCAGACAAAACTGAAATGATTGTCTTTGGTCCCCAGAAACAAAGAGAGAGCGTCATCTGTCACCTACAGTCTCTCTCCCTAAAACCTTCAAACAAGGTCAGAAATCTAGGGGTAATACTGGACTCAGACTTAAATTTTAATAGCCACATCAAATCAGTAACATCAGCAGCTTTTTACCATCTACAAAACATTGCCAGGATCAAAAACATAGCAGACTTGGAGATTCTTATCCATGCATTTGTCTCCAGTAGGTTAGACTACTGCAATGGCCTGCTCACAGGTCTGTCCAAACAGGCTGTAAAACAGCTGCAGTACATTCAAAATGCAGCAGCTCGAGTCCTGACTAGAACCAGGAAGTACGACCACATTAGTCCAGTTCTCAGGTCTCTGCACTGGCTTCCTGTGGCTCAGAGAATAGACTTTAAAACAGCTCTGCTTGTGTACAAATCTCTCCATGGCCTCGCACCAAAATATATTAGTGACATGTTAGTACCATATGAACCAGCCCGGACTCTGAGGAGCACAGGGACTGGACTCCTGTTAGTGTCCAGAGTCAGAACTAAACATGGGGAGGCTGCCAGGTTAAAAACGGTTCTGTTGAGCTGTGCATAAAACTGAGGGATTTTATATTTTTATCTTTCTTTTTAATGTACTGTGATTATATATGATTTTAATGCTTTCTTGTTTTGTTCAGCACTTTGAGTTGCCTTGCCTTGTGTATGAATTGTGCTATACAAATAAACTTGCCTTGCAACGGTTGCCATGGTGGCCATTGCCATAGCAACGGTTGCCATGGTCACCATTGCCATAGCAACGGTTGCCATGGTGACCATTGCCATAGCAACGATTGTCATTGTGGCCATTGCCATAGCAACAGTTGCCATGGTGGCCATTGCCATAGCAACGGTTGCCATGGTCTCCATTGCCATAGCAACGGTTGCCATGGCGGCCATTGCCATAGCAACGGTTGCCATGGTGGCCGTCACCATAGCAACGGTTGCCATGGTAGCCATCCCCATAGCAACGGTTGCCATGGTGGCAGTCACCATAGCAACTGTTGCCATGGTAGCCATTGCCATAGCAATGGTTGCCATGGTCACCATTACCATAGCAACGGTCGCCATGGTGACCATTGCCATAGCAACGGTTGCCATGGTGACCATTTTCATAGCAACGGTTGCCATGGTGGCCGTCACCATAGCAACGGTTGCCATGGTAGCCATCGCCATAGCAACGGTTGCCATGGTCACCATTGCCATAGCAACGGTTGCCATGGTCACCATTGCCATAGCAACGGTTGCCATGGTCACCATTGCCATAGCAACGATTGCCGTGGTGACCATTGCCATAGAATCTGCCATTAATGGGGAAAGTCCTTGAAAAAGTCCAATCATAACTATGCAGACGACACTCAGATCTATGTCTCACTGAATGCAGGAGAACATGGACCAGTGGACTCACTCCTTCACTGTATCCAACAGATCAGTGAGTGGATGCAAAACAACTTACTTCGGCATCTGTCACCTCCAGTCTCTCTCCCTAAAACCTTCAAACAAGGTCAGAAATCTAGGGGTAATACTGGACTCAGACTTAAATTTTAATAGCCACATCAAATCAGTAACATCAGCAGCGTTACGACAGAACGCAACACAGCTTTAAGCCGTTTGCGGCAGCACTGAAATCGGTACTGTAGCTTTGCTTTCTCTGAGAGGAACGCCCCTTCATGCCGTTTTCTCTCCTGATTGGAAAAAAAACTGTAGGATAAAAAGAAAAGTTTTCTCCTTGGCTCAGAGAAGAGCAGATTGAGTGACTGAGACATGTGTGCGTTTACTATTGGTAGACATACTGTAACTATTTAAGACTTATATTAACACCAAAATATCGCTAATATCTGCTTTAAAGGCTAAAACAGTGGCACGGTGGCTGAGTGGATAGCACTCTCGCCTCTCAGCAAGAAGGTTCGAATCCCGGTCGGAACAGGGTCTTTCTGAGTGGAGTTTGCATGTTACATGGTTTCCTCCTTTCCCCTACCACTAAAAACATGCTCACTAGGTTAAATCCTCCAGCTCCGGTAGTCCTGACCAAGCCGAGCATCAACATCTGGAGATGGGTTCCCGGGCGCTGTACTATGGCGACCACTGCTCCTGACGTAAGCCTTCGCGGCATCAGGATGGGTCAAATGCAGAGGATTGAATTGCCCTGTGGGGAATAATACTTCTAAAACAAATGCATACCAGTGATATATATAAGTTACCTACCTATTATGTGCTTTGCATGTTCTCCCCAAGCCTGCTCCGGTTTCCTCCGGGTGCTACAGTTTCCCCTACTACTGAAAACATGCACACTAGGTAAAATCCACCAGCTCCTGTAGTCCTGACCAAGTTGAGTATCAACATCTGGAGATGGGTACCTGGGCACTGTACCATGGCGACAACTGACGTAAGCCTTAGTAGCATCATGATCTCGCATTACATTCATCTCTATTCTCCATGTCAAGTGGTAGGGGAAACCTATGCAGACCCGGGGAGAACATGCAAACTCCACACAGAAAGGCCTAGAGGTGGAATCGAACCCTGCACCTTCTTACAGTGTGCATTGTTAAGTATATTTCTTGTTCTGTATTGTTACATATTGTATACAATCAACGGCCTGAGTAGTTCCTATAATCTTACTGTAATGCCACATATAGACTCCCTTCCTCTCACAGTCAGGGCTGGGGGTTCTCTGCTGGGACTGGAGCCTGGAGTGGAGCCCGGGTCAGCTGTGGTGTGGAGCGTGGCAGGACCATCGCTCATCTGCCCTCCCCCCCTGAGCCCAGTGGAGAGCCGGGAGCCCGGGGGACACACTGCCTGACCCTGCGCCTCACTACAGTCCAACTCTCCCTAAAGATGTGCTCCTTAAGCGCTGAGCATTAGCATGATAATGTCCCAACAACATGAGTTACGAGGCGCACTGCGACCTGGTCCTGTTCAAACCACTGCACATGGTACGCAGGGCACGCTGCAGGGATCTGGATCTGCCTTTCTAATCCTTGTGTCAAATTCAGCTTTTGAGTATTTCTTCCTCGACTTGTGTCCATTACAAGTCTTTTGTTTTGACTGTGTGTTAAATGGCTTGCATTGGGGTTTGTATTTCATGTTTGACATTTATGACATTTGTGGACATTTACTAACAATTATGGATAATGGCTCTAGGCTTTTAATCATTGCATTTCCTGTGTTTGATTCTCTGATCTGTTGGAGGACTCTGACTCCGATACCTTGGAGGACTTTATAAAGCTGATGATTCGCCAAATCATCAGCTTTTTAAAGTCCTCCAAGGTATCTACTGTTGTGATTTAGTGTTATACAAAATACTTTGAATTTGATGTTTATTTACTTGTTGTTTATTTCAAACCCGAAACCAAATTGACTTCAATTCAAGTTTATTTACTTGTTGTTGAAAAGAAAACCAATACCTGTAAAACTCAAATCACTTTGTTGATTAAAGGGTTGGATGATGCTAACATTTAAAAACTTTCCAACCCTGTCATCCAATCGACTCACTAAAAACATGTGAATGCGCATCTACAATTACATATTCTCCCAAGCTTTATTGTCTACACAATGACATCTCTGTAGATTGTACTGACCTGAATATGAAGCTACAGCCTGGCCCGCCAGAACATATGCTTTTTCAGACAGGATCCACCAATCAACCAACGATCAAGCAGTAAAGTCACAAGCTGTGGTAAAGGTGCAGTGGGAGCAGTGTGTGAGTCCTGATGAGAGGGCTGAGAAGGAAACTTCAAGGAACTCGGAAACACTCTAAAACCCCGGCCTCAGTGTTGTTGACGCTTACAATCTAAATGATCGCCATCTGCTGGCTGCTTTTTTAATGCTTTTTTGCATTGTTATCGTCAAAAGATGAGACCGAGGCAGCAGCGATCTCATGCACTTGTAACCCTCAGTTTATTTCCCAGTTCGCATTGGCGTGGGACAAATGGAGCCAATGCAAGAGCTGTGATGTGTATCATCCTTGAGATATTATGACACCGATGCTTAAGATATTGATACTAGTAGCAATGTGGGTCAGAACAAATATATTCAGCTCTTGAGGTAATAAGAGTAGTAATATAGATAAAACAGTGGTCTAAAGTTCAAAACATGCAGGTCAGATTCCACATTATTTAATATAAACATAAATAAAGAGTTATGAGAAAGCTCCACAAGGCTCCATCCTCTCAGTGAGACTGGACCTAAAGTGGTCAGACCAGTTTTCGAATTACTCCACTGTGTGTTCTCCTGCTTTGTGTAAGATTTAGTCACTGATCATTTGTCTAAATCTTGCGTGTTCCATTCTTCAAAGTGAATTCCTCTGAGTTGTGTGTTAAGGTGACATTCCTCCTCTCTCACCCAGGTGTTAGCCTGTGTCAATTCTTGTTGTTTTGGGTTCGGGTTTGGAGTTCCCAGCGCCTGAATGCAGAGTAAGTGAGTGGCCGTTGCACTGCTGCATGCTGGGACATGTGGAGATGCTAATGACCCAGAGGAACTCCTTCTCACGCAGCTTCATGGGCTTCAGATCATTAGCTCCGGCCTCCAGGAGGGTTCTGCTCGGCCAGCTCCTGGAGGGTCACTTTGGGAACCAGTTTTTGAACTTGTCATCAGTAGAAATGAAAATATAATGCTAATCATTTACACCATCAGTTTTGAACGAAGACGGTTGATGTAAGTTAAGATATGATAAACCTTTATTCGTCCCTTCATTAAGGAAATAAGAGCACTCCAATTGCACACATCTAAGAGGATCTATTATTTAAGATAACAGATAATAAAATGATAAAATGACAAGAGAAACTCTGGGGCTATATTGTCACTTGGTCACCAGTGGAAGTGGAGTATACACTGTTGTCAGCAGCATATATACGGATGGCTGGTGTTATACTTTAGCAGCAGAGAAGAAAGACCAGAATTAGCAATAGGAATATTAATAATAGCAGTAATAATGTGACTTGCTCTTTTTAATGTACTGTGATTATTCATGATCTCAATGCCTTGTGTCCAGGGCAGCTGTGGCTACACGAGTTTATCACCACCCTGTATGAAGTGGATGAATATTGACATGTGAAGCGTCTTTAAGTGTTTATTGTTTAAAAACAATAAAAAAATATTGTAAAGTGATTTTGCAGCATATTTCTCTTTTAAATACGAGTTTAGTTCACATTAGTTTACTTATTTATTTCAGACGTATTTGACAATTTCAGGCACAAAAAAAAAGTTTAGTTAAACTTTAGTTAAACTTAAATAGCTGCAACACACAAATCAAAATAAAACATTTAGGCGAAAAAAATGAGGATTTTCTGCTCTCAGCTTCAAACCATATTCAACCCAGACACTGCTCTAGTGAATGGACTCAGATCACTAATTGTCTCTGCTCCTCGGTGCAGCGCCGCTCTCGCTCGCCGCAGAATCACCTCGGGACGTGCACCAGTTCTGCCGGTAAACGTGCGCATCACGCCGACAGCGCAGAGATGCTGAATTTGACAAAATAAAAAGTGGATTGGACCAAAGCTGCTGACTCTACCGGCTCCAACCGTGAGCAAACCCCCCTCCCCGAAGCCCACCCTCCACCAGCAGCTCAGGTCGACGGGGGCTCGCTCCTGTCTGTGTGTGTGTGTGTGAGTGTGAGTGTGAGTGTGTGTGTGTGTGTGTGTGTGTGTATGAAGCATTCAGTGTTCATTTTGGCCCTTAGTTTCATCTAGTTTAGTTTTGTTTTCCTAACTCAAAGTGATAGAGAAGGTCGCACAATTAAAAACATACATAATCACAGTGCATTAAAAAGAGTAATGACAAAATCTGTTTTTATCTCACATTTTCAGGAAGACTGTTCCAGATTTTAGCAATAGTAAGTAGTAAGTAAGCTTTATTTATATACCGCCTTTCACAGACCAGAGTCACAAAGCGGTTTACAATTGTTATTTTTTTGGGCACTTGTCCTCTCACTCCACACAGAGATGGGAGCAGGGTCGCCGAACAGGAGGCGCATGCCAGACCTATTGTACATATTTTTAGTGGTAGGGGAAACCGGAGTACCCGGAGGAAACCTACGCAGACACAGGGAGAACATGCAAACTCCACTCAGAAAGGCCCTGGTCCAGCCGGGATTCGAACCCAGGACCTTCTTGCTGAGAGGGCGAGAGTGCTATCCACTCAGCCACCGTGCCGCCCATGACACCTAACCAATAGACACCTAACCTAACATACACATTTCAAAGTTTGTATATTTCGATTTAAATTCTTATAGTCTATCCATCCATTTTCTACCCCTTGATCTGGGTCAGGGGGGTGACAATCAGAGATGCCACCCAAGTCACATAGCACCAGCCCCTCACTGATCCTCTGCAGGTGGTGAGTCCACAGGAGAATGGCTGCTCTGTCTGTGAGAGCATAGCCTTGATCTTTCAGGCAGGGGCTTCAGGCAAAGTGGGGTTAAGTGTCTTGCCCAAGGACACAACGACAGCAGACATCAGTGGGAGTCGGTGGAGAAGGTGAGCTCGAACCCACGACCTTCAGGCTCAAAGGCCAATGCTCTACCAACAGATCAATTAAGTTTATCTTATCTTATCTTATGGTTTTCAGACAAGTCCAGAACTTAACTCTTTGGTCCAAATACAAAATACTATGTATGTCTTCAAACTAAGAATGCCAGTGTCAAATATAAGGCTGGCTGCATCATGTTTTGGGGCTACTGAAAATCATTGGTAGACGAAGTGCTGGAGCTGGGGATTCCACATCTACTGCTGTTTTTTTCAGTTTCTATTTAACAAAATCATGCATCATTTTGCCTTCATTTCAAGGCCATCAAATGACTTACATTTGGGGTCATTACCAAATATCTGTTATTAAAAATATTTCAATCTGGACAGATTAGACACAAAATTGCAATACATGATTTAATGAGCTTGATGTGTTTGTTTGGACCCATAGGTCCCGGCTGCAACACTTTGTCTGAAGATTATTCCTTGTGCGCAGCTTGTAATCACCTAGGTACCGGTGGTGGTATAAGGCCTACGTACTGTTGGTGGCATAAGGCCTATAGATACCGGTGGTGGTATAAGGCCTACGTACTGTTGGTGGCATAAGGCCTATAGGTACCGGTGGTGGTATCAGGCCTATAGGTACTGGTGGTGGCATAAGGCCTATAGGTACCGGTGGTGGTAGAGGAACAAGGTGGCATAAGATCTAGGTACTGGTGGTGGCATAAGGCCCATAGGTACTGGTGGTGGCATAAGGCCCATAGGTACTGGTGGTGGTATAAGTGTGAAGTTGTGATGAGCGCGTGCCTTCAAAGGTCAAAGAGGAGGTGGTGGTTGCGAGCCGTGAGTAGACAAAAGTGATGCCAGAACGACCTGTGTGCGAGGCTGGAAAAGTGTTTGTTATTCGGAAGTTTCCGCTTTTACACAGCTGGCTTAATTGGCGTAGGTTGGCAGCGGTGTGTGATTGGCCGGCTTGGACGGGCTGCAGCAGGTAGCCTACCAGACTGAATTTTTGCAGGCTGCATTTGTAACAAAAAGTGGTTGACGATGTGAGTGAGAAAAGAGTATAACTAATTAAAAAAACTTTATCAGGACAGGTTGGTTACAAAGATGGTGTGTATTAAAGGTGTGTGGCTGTATAATGGAGTGTGATTGGGGTATAACGATAAGATCAGTCCGTGTGGAGTGTTCTCTGGGGGGTTATCGGCCTGTGTGAAGTGGGATGGCTGGAGGTTACAGATATAACGGTGTGCGAGGTTCAGGGAAGCACAGATGAGAGGAGATAAAGTCGAGCAATGGACCCACAGTCAGGACCGGACAGGTGCAGGAGCTCAGACAT